TCCAATGAATTTTTTCCCGAGGATGATAATTGTTGATTTTCTGTAAATAATAGCAACTGAATATTTCATCCCTGCAAAACCGGAGTAGAGGGTTGTTAGTAAAACCCGTCAAATGCAAGTCGGATTCGCTGGACGAGAGTTCTGTACAAATATTTAAGAAACTGCATAACATTGGGTCGTGATCGAACTTTGATATTATGTAGGTCAACAACTACCGCAGGAAGATGTACCTACATTGTGCATCTAAACAAGAGTGAGACGGTTCTCGTCCAATATTACTAAAGTTCATAATTAATGAAAGCAACGAACTGGTGTAATTAAAAAATAACTTTGTGTTTGAAAAAGCATCATCGATGTGAATGTCAATTTATTAACTGCCAGTTGTAAAAACGTCCGTTCAATTTTCATAAGTTTAATGCCACTTCACCATATTTAGTACATTAATTGCAGTTTAAAGTCGTCATAAAACCTTAATGGACGTATGTGCAACTGGGCGTTAGTAAACAAGAAAGCTGAAATAAGTTACTACTCGTACGAATCACAGAATCTAGCACCTTCCTACCTACTTACGAATTAACATGATACCTGAAGCCCTATTCTTTTTCCTTTATAACTAAATTTCGTCTATTTTCGAAATGCTAGTAGGACTCCAAAGAAACGCATTTTTTCGTTAATTTATGATGCAATAAAAGCAAAATTTGACATAGCATCTGATACACAGATAATCTTCGAGGATACGATTTTATAATAACATTATATGTAGTCGAAAATTACTGAATTTTCGTTAGAGAACAAATAAATAGGTTCAGGTGTGATCTTAATTCGTACGAGTTATATGCTATGCAACTTCATTTAAATTTACTGTTTTCGGATTTTTCTCTTTACTTGTGTTATATCATCATCATCATCACCAGCCCTTTTACGTCCTCACTGCAGGAGCTCAGGCCTGTGTTATATATTAGGGGTTAAAGCCGTTTTTTTGTAATAGGTTCCTTTGAATTAACATAGAATCTTCATGGTTTGAGGTTTTCGTAATAAACTTTTTACATGTGGCTTCTATGACATTCTTCTTTTAAAAAATGTGAAACATTTGAATATCGACTTTCAATTGTTTTTGTTATTCAACTTAGAATAAAGGTCTTAACTGCGAAAATTAAAGTGATTTTTCAATACGAGTTCCGACGCGGAAGTAACGCGGCAGAAACAGTCCGCAATATCAATATTGCGTTAATAGAGGGGTCTGCTAATGAACGCACCATGCGATTTTGGTTTAAACGCTTTCGTGACGGAAACTTCGACTTGAAGAATGAGCCACGAGGAAGACCGCCTACACAGGTGAATAACGATGAATTAATAGAGATGGTGGAAGCCGATCTTAGTCAACACTACCCAGGAATTAGCGGCATGGTATAACGTTACCTTACCCACAATATTGACTCATTTGCGTCAAATCAATAAAATAAAAAAATATGAAAATGGGTGCCTTATGATTTTACTGATCTGCAGAAAGAAACGCGTGGTGAAACTTATGTTGCCTTGTGAATCGGTACAAAAATGAAGGAATATTGGATCGAATTGTGACATGTGGATGAAAAGTGGACCAAACCCCAGGTCAAACGCCAGTGTCTTAAAGCAAAACTTACCAATAAAAAGGTAATGGTAACTGTTTGGTGGTCTCAGCATGGTGTTATTCACTATAATTTTCTCCGATCTGGTCGAGCAATAACGGTACATATCTATTATGCCGAACTCCGAACAATGTTGCCCAAACTGGTAGTAAAACAGCCCCGATTCATATAGTGATCTTCACCATTATTGCTCTATGATAACGCGAGACTTCATACAGCACGACAAACCGTTTTGACCCTTCAGGAACTGCAGTTAGAAACCATTCGTCATCCTCCGTATTCGCCCGACCTTGCTCCAACGGACTACCATTTTTTCGTGATTTGGACAATTATCTACTTGACAAGAACTTTTCTTCCCGGGAGGCAGTACAAAATGCTTGCACACAGTTTGTGCAGTCTAGATCCACAGAGTTGTATCGCAAAGGCATAAATGACCTTCCTTTTGGATGGCAGCAATGTATTGATAATAATGGTAACTATTTAATGAAATAAATTTGTTAAAAATTACAAATCGACAATTTTATACTATAACCCCTATTATAATATCCACCCCGGCCTCTGGCCCTGGGAGACCTCCGAATGGCAAAAAAATTATGCGTTTTGTAGCAAAAAGCAATATCAAGTTTCTGCCCTGGTTGGGAAAACGCGGGCCTATTGCTGCCCCGGGCCTCCGATAAGGTTAGTCCGCCACTGGGTCTGAGTATTGCATGAGTAAGACGCATTCCGGTAAAAGGTCTTAACAGACGGACAAAGACAACAAAGTAACGCTATAACATTTTAAGGTAGACTGTAAATCATTAAATCGAATCGTGGCCAAAGTAACGGAGAATAAAAAAGAAAACAAAATATAAGATTTCAATATAATCACTCGTATATTCACATTTCTTTACTCACTAAATATTTACACATGTACAAACATTACAATAAGAGCTGCCTCATTATAATTCTACTGACTGATATAATATCCTATGTTTTTACATTGTAATATCTATCAGTGTTATTAATAAACAAGATTTAACGTTGGAGTAAATTTACGCTGAGACTGCACTTTTATTAAAATTTTATTAAAACAGAATTAGAAAATGTTTACCTAGTACGAGGTACTACTGGAGTAGTTTACTTCTAGAAAGTAGTAGGATTGCTTCTCTGTATAGTATGAATTTCGACTAATAATAAAATTGCAATTTTAGCGTAATTTACTTTGATGCTAAACCTTATTTATTAATAGCACTGTAAGACATTATTTTGTCATTTGTGGTGTAACAATGAAATAATTTGAGGCAATATAGGGTACAATGCGAGCACCGATCTCTTTATTTCAATCAGCTACTACAGTGTCTCTAATTATATTAGGTAAATACACAAAACTACAGGTCCTGTGAAATATTTCCATAACCGACTTTGATCTCTTCATTCAATGCGTTAAAGTTTAAAATCAATTGAAGAACTATGACAATTAGATAAACACTAAATACTTAGTATGATAGGTTTATACTATATATAATAATTATGCTTATTATCTTCAAATATAATTAGCATAATTATGATATAGTAAACCTAAAACGATCCTGAACAACTTTGGCAAAATTAACCAGAGAGTATTGTTAAATCTTTCACATATTTTTTCACTGCGATTTTATTAAATTGTCACTAAAAGGTAATGTTCTTCTTTTTCCTATTTATTTATAATTTCAGTACAATTTAATAAATTTGTTCAATGTTATGTATTACAATCATAATTTATCAAAACATCGCTACAAAAGGTAAGCCAGTTGCACTGTACTGTACCATCTTTATCAGTTTTTGAATGAACCAAAATTATCTATAATCATACCTTCACTTATATCTCCTACCGACAGCGATATCTTTATTATTTGATAAGAAACAGAACTATGTTAATCTTTTCACATTGCGAATGATAACGTACATTATCAAATGAAAAAGAAACACCTTCTTCAATTTACTTTTAACAATAACATCTTTCGACATTACAGAAAATCATAAAGAGCGAATACGCTTCGAATAGAGACGCGATTTTTTCAGTTTTATTTATTTGTAACACTACTCCTTACCAACGAGTACTGTACGTGTGATCAAGCTTTATTCACATATTTAAATGAAAATATGGTGATATTATAAAGATGCGCTCTACACATTTTCCTATACATATGTGATTAAACCTCAGTTTCGTGTTTACCATGCATAAAAAATCAAGTTTAATAAAAAGGACAATATATTTTTTATTTGAAGAATTAATCATAAAAGAAGGTGATAAATAAGTAACTTTATTTTAGTTACGTTAGTCCTTAGTTAAACATTCCATCTTATTATAAAACGAGGACTAAAGTTAGTACCTGGTTTAAACCATTGGCCGCCTAAAGTAAATTGACAATGACAGAAGAGAAGACGTCAAACTGAGACGTGTTGATTTATTTTGGTCGGGTAGTGATTTAAATACTAAACTGTAGTAAAGGTACTAAAGTTAGAATACGTTTTTATTATACGACGGTCACACTCCATGTACTGATGAAAAGGAAGGATTAAATGTCATTGTAAATATTAAATCAGACTAAAACAATAAACAGTAATTCTCGTCTGTCGGTATTCAACAAAAAAATTACGATAGTACTCCTATATTATTCTTTATTTGATCGCAAAAATTGACAATGTTTAAATATCTAACTAAATTTTATCGGGTATTAATGGATGACATATGTCAACGATTATAATTTATTTTATGAAATTTATCAAAGAATTAATATTAAATTGATACTATTCCAGTCTTAATTAATAATTTATAAATCATTTGAAACACTTATAAACATCTGTATCTTCATAAAATCTGAGGCACATTCAATATACGTATCATACAGTCCTATATTTATTAAATATTTACAAATATTTCACTTACTAATCTAATATGGCAGTATTGAGGTTTTGCGAACAATATGACATTACTCAGTAACCTACGTCATACGCTTTCCTGCAATAAATTTAGAGACGAGCTTACCGAAATATTTTTTCATTAAACTTATATAATTAATTGTATTTAAAAAAAAACACTGCAAAGAAAATATACGAAATCAGAGAATCCAGAGAGAAGTAAAAAAAAACTTTAAAATTATCGTCAAAGCGTATTACGAGTTACATAAATTTAATAATTTACAGTTCAATAAACATTTAACATATCTATAAAAAAATCAGTCTCTTTGAATCCAACCTTCGCCAACTTCACAAAACAAATTCACATCACTTAAGTCTGAAGTTAAATCTTATGCATCACATAAGGCCTCTTTGTGAACAAGATTCTCACTCCACCGTATTTATTGTCGTCTTTGGGCTGTCTTTTAAAGTGTATTTTAAAGAAATGAATCAGACGAATCTTGTAAGCTGTGTGTGGAAATCCCTTAAGAATATTTGTAGCTGTTGCAGCGTTGGTCGGTCATCGGGTGACATTGCCCAGCAGTATGCCATTACCGCAAACCTGTTGACAAAGGCTACTTTTAGATTCTCAAAACTAAACTCCCTTATCCCTAAAGTCTATAAAAAATCTAAATAAGTGAAATAAACATAATTGTACCTAAGATCGTCAATCCAAAATGTTCCACTAAGAAAATCTTTAAAAAAATTAGATCAATTAAATCCACTCACAATTCGTCAGGACAATTGGCAGGCTGTTGTAACCGGTAGCCATCTCGTAAGTAAGCCGCCACCTCAAACGGGTCCACTTCAGCATAGGGTTGATGCGCCAAAGTGGTCAGCTCCCAGAGCAGAACTCCTAATGCCCAAACATCAGCCGCTGGGTTAAATTGTCTCTTAGTCAAGGATTCTAATGCTAGCCATTTAATAGGTCTATTCTCGTTATCTCCTAGACAGTGGTAGTCTGCAGGGAAGAGATCTCTTGATAAAGCATTGTCCGCAATCATCACTCTAAGATTTTCATCCACTCTGTCAACAAAAATTTTATAATGAATCACCATTCAACCATACGATTGCAGTTAAAAATATGGGCTACTTCTATGTCAAATGTTTAATAAAATACGCCTTTAAATATTCTCACTTACATGCAATTCCTTGCAGCTATATCTTTGTGCAGAACATGTTGCGAATGAAGATATAATAGGCCATCTAAGGCGTGCAGTGCCATTCGCACTACGTGTTGTGTGGTCAGAGGCGGCGGCGGCGGAGCTGTACCCGCTGCTCCTCCCACCGTTACTCCTCGACAGGCCAGTAGGAACTGCTTTAAGTTCCTCCAAGTACTCCCCCAAGGATACAGTAAAAATGGTGCAGTCTGGTCCTCGATACTCACTCCGAGGACGGATAACACACGTTCGTGATGTAGTCCATATAGCATACAACCTTCTTGAAGAAGTAGTGATACCTGTAAAAATATATTAACGTTAATAAAATCAAATACATAATTATAAAAAAAAATAATTTGGAATTTTTGTTTGTTTGCGTAGGTACCTGAACTTGAGAAGCATGTTCAGCAACAGTTTTGACGAGCACTTCCTGCTCCCTTCCATCCTCGTCAGCATATGTCCCTCTGTAAACACGACCAAAAGTTCCTTCCATAGCCACAGACCGCAACCTCACTCGACATCTCTGAATGGTTAATTCAGCTATCCTCTGTTGAAGATCTCTAGCTCTTTCTTCGGCTGCTGCTGCAGGCAAAGATGTAGGCCGTCGATAGCTGGTATAACTGGCAGCGGACTTGCAAGAAGAATCTGGTAGAAATGCGTGAGCGTCTTGTTCATCGCTTCGTGCTCTTCGAAGCTTTCTCGCTCGTGCTCTGCAAGCCGCCGCTCCGATTGCCGCTATTAGAAGTACGCCACCAGCACAACCAGCTCCCGCGTAAAATATATCAGCAGATGTTGGTGCATGTGGTATTGTGTCGACTCTCACAGCAGGCCGTGGTGCTTCTTTCAAACAAATTTTTCTTCGACGAAAATGTAAGGTAGTAGACGAAGAACCAGTGGAAACGTTTAGCGATATAGTGATGTCAACTTCTGCGGCCACGACATGCGTACAGGGCAATGTCACTTGCCAAGTCTGAGGCTCTGTGGGTACGAAGCCCTCGCTCGTAATGTTGAATTCTGGCGTATGCATTGCTTCTTGGTGGGATACCACTTCGACATGTAGCGTATAAGGCAACTGCAACAAAAAAAAACATATTGATTTTAATATCGTTTTAGAAATACCTGATGACCTGAGATAATCATGGAAGTGGTACAGTTCTACCTAACGGGAACATCACGATATGCTATATCAGGTCATATGATTGACGTGTACGGGACCCTAGATGGTCGGTGCGGTGACCGAGTTTGTGCCTGTGTCAGAAGAGATCAAATGTCAACTGCGCCCGCGTCCCTTTCGATCACGACAAGCGCACCTTTTACTGCTATATAATATTACGGTGAACTATATACCGCATGCCCAATTTTTTAATAAGTTAAACTCATTCTTTGCTTTTAAAGAAAAAAAAAACAAATAAACGTGATGATTTAAATGATAGTAATGACGATAACTACTCTTAATACACAGCAGTTGTATATTTTATTAATTCATAAAATGGTTATTTGCATTGTCTTTTAATCAGAACATAAAACATCCAATTAAATATTGTAATAATGAAAAGTTAATTATCCATGTAATTGTAGAGCGGTACGAGGCAAACGCTTAAACAAACATTATTCGCCGCGGGCCCTTTGGCCGGTGCATCAAGCGTGCATTACGAATGTGCTGCGAGTTGTCTTGTAGTTATAATGCGTAGGTGCGACAGCGATGCCGCTAATTAAATATTATCACTCGGCAGTCGGTCGGTGAGTACAGACAATGGTGCGATCGCTCATCGGCGCTAGTTAACCGGTTACCAAATATTTGCTCTAGTCAAAGAAGACGCCGCCGGCAAATAAGGGAGTCGTCGAGTCGCCAAGGGGCGATCAGATAGCGCCGCCCGCTCAAAGCTCGCCGAGATGTTGATAAGGGCGAGCGTGATCGCGACCGTCGCATATTACCAAGTAGATATTCGCTTCTTGAACTACGCCAGAGATTTCCAATTTATGACTAAAAATCGTAGTTTACATAAACACACACGTCCTGTATACATTCAAATTGATGAGATGCAACATCTTAAAAGTTCACCTTATGACTTGCAAATACACGTCCTAAATAAGCAGATGCTTTATTGACAGGACCACTGAACTCCTATGCGTTGTTGATATTTCATATGCAAACGTGGACCACGTTATACTCTCCGAATCAAAAATTTAAATAACCACGAAGACATTGGATGCGTGTCACTCCCAGAGACCAGAGAATATATACAATAAGTAACCAAAGATGGTTGAGGTAAAAGTAAATAAATGCACATAATATTTGGTACACGATACGGGCGCGCAGCAGAAAATAAAGGAGTACGCGTCGTGATTCACCGACCGTTGCATTTGCATAGGAAGCGGTCTAATTTGAATTAAAAACGTAACTAAATGCGTACGAAACGTAGCATTAGGATAATCGATCAAATGTTGCGTTAGATCTTATCCGTCGGTGATAATTCAAAGGACTAACATATGATAATGTCCCAAACTAACTTAAATAAATCCATACGAATATCATTTTTCAATAACTTAGTTCTGAGTATGAGCGAAATTTTATACGTGGTTATAAAAATTATTCGTGAAATCATTACTTGTTACCGATCACAAATGACTATTTTTTATGATCCATTTATCCATATCCATTTATCCATATTTTTCCATTTATCCATAAACATAAAATCAACCGAGTTACAGGTAATATGGCCCCATAATGTGAAGAAAACGACATATTCAATGTTTAATATGAATAACAATAAAACCATAGATTACTTGTCGATCGTTAAAGTTCAAAATTTAATACCAATTATTTATTTATTATTATTATAACCTGCATTTTGGTACTGTATACATACTATCTACCTGATGTCCAATATTCAATGTCTTCCTCACAAATGAAATGTTGACAGATATATTTATTATTTTGCAATCTAATAAAAAGAACTGTGTCATAAAAGGTTATAGTTGAAAAGCTGTTGTCTTTCCATAATTTCGCTAACAAATTGACGCGTGCCCTTTTAATTTCTGCTCCTTTAAATTTAAATCACAAATATTATGTGCATTATTTACCTTTACCACACGTATTGTAAATATTCTCTTTGGTCTCTGCCCAATGACACGGTGCTTATTTAACTTTACAGAATTTTCCTACTGTTGTTTTAACTCACCGGTCGTCTTGTAAGGCTCTGCCAAGTAAAATGCAACTCCTCAATGGTGGCCGGGACAGGTACCACGAAGTTGAGTGCATAGAAGTTGATTTGGCCCTCTCGCACGTAAAACAACTCCGCTGTGAGACCTGTTGATGAAAAAGAAGATAAATACTTTAATTTATCATAAACTAAGAACATTAACGTAACTGACCATCATAGTTTATCTAACTTCTGTGTTATAATAGCTTGTAAAAAACGTCACAGACAAAAATCATTATATGCGAAGAAAAAACTTTGGACGCAAAAATACACCTAGATATTTTTATAAATTAACTAGTGGACGCCCGCGACTTCGTCCGCGTGGAAGTCGGTATCCCGTGGGAGTGAGAAGTTTTCCCAGTAAAAAGTACCCTATGTGTTATTCTGATGTATAACCTATATTGCTGTAAAGTTTTATCCAAATCCGTCCAGTAGTTTTTTCGTGAAAGAGTAACAAACATCCATACATCCATACTTACAAACTTTCGCCTTTATAATATTAATAGGATAGGATGGTGGTCGCATATGTATCAGAGGAGATGGATGGAGACTAATTTTTCTGATAAGAATTCTGATGATACCTTATGCTTCTTCCTTCCTTCCAAAATGCAGAATTCTATTTGCAGAACGCACTTTGTTCTTTAGAACTATGTGTGATTTTTCCAGTGTGTTCCATCTGATATTCACATTGTCATGTTCTTCGATTGTTAAAAAATCCGTGCACAAACGTCAAAAACTCGAGAGTTTTATATATTTAATACAATATTTGATCTCTCAACAATAGTGTAATGAGATTCCCAACAAGCATGTGTTTTGGATCAAAGCAGACCATCAGATCCTATTTATACAACGTTCCTATTGAGAAATCGAGATGGAGCGAAACCCAAAAATCAGTATACGGATCAATAACATACAGAAACTGAGCAAAAAGTTGAAAGCGCACGCGCACAATGTAGCGGCGAGATCAAAGACGTGCTCAAAGCCGCCGCAACCAGACTCCCGCGACACCTGTCCAGTTATCATGGGAACTTTTCAAATAAAAACAGACCTAGGCACTAGGAGGAAGTTCTTAAACAGAAAAGAAATTCGATTAACATCAAATAACGTCAGTAATTGAAAAGAAATAAAGACTAATCGTCGTTTTTCTTTATGTGTATTTCCGTCGCCATTTGCACATTTTGCCCGCCGCGATGGTCGTTATGACAACCGCAGACTCGCAGAATTTATTTACCATCGTATGGATTTATGTCTTTTTTAGTGCATTATAAGTTCTTTCTTTATTTTCTTATAAAATTCATACAGAATTGGAATCATCCTAAAAATTAGCTGATACCTAATTGATCTTCAACAACAGTCGAGTTGAACATCTTTTGGAGAGCACATAGGATACATTCTTTGTTAAATATCTTAAATTTTTTATAGTCTCTATTCTATTCTTTTTAAATAAACTTTGCAACGGATTTCATATTAAAAAAAAAAAAAAAAATATTATCGCCATTTTTCACTAATTTTATTTTCATTTTACATGCGGAAATTAATTTATTCACTTGACATTGACAGAATTTTGCGAAATGCGCAGATAGGCCATTAAATTTTCTGTTAAATGTATGTTATTTTTAAAATTGTTTAATTGATTTTCTCGCATCTTTTATTATGAAGACGAGGAAAACTTTAGTTAATAACGATTACAAGGATACTGAAATTATAATTTAAAATAGAACGTGCATTTACATATTTAAAATTAGTTGGGATAAAATTATTACTTCAAGTTATTTTTATTCATCATTTAAAGAAAGTGCAAATCAATGCTTGGCCAAAATCTCGCTCTGGGTCAAAAGTTTAAGAGTCAGTGCATTCCACCAAGGAGATAGAGGCATATATCATACTTTCGTCATATCCCATTTCCAATAGTAACAGGTTCTCTCTCCATCTTCTTAATAAGGGATTACATAAAAACCCGCCGCCCTATACAAAGACTTTAAGGCCTCATTTAAAATGGCAACAGCTGAAGCAGTCTGTTTTTATAAAGTTTCCAAATCAGTATGGAATTCATAATAATCTCATTATCTATTTATGAATATGGGTAAGGTTAAGCATAATAAGATAATATCTCTTATGCATTCATATTATCCGAGCAACTAGAGTAGAGTTATGGTACCGCACCTAATATGAACATCTCGGTGTTCTAAGAAACATAACACATTTTTTTCTGCCTCGTTAAGGACTCGGTTCTAGTTACATAAACGTTATTTTATGGTCATGAATCCAAGTAGTATCCGGTGCATTTAGCATACAAGAATGGATAAGACCTAGCTACGTAAGTACATACATAACATCATATCAAATTATTGATGGAATAATAAACTTTGTGAGAAAAGTTGAATAAACCAACTATAAACATGAAATAAGCTTTCGTCTTAGAAAACTCTAATCATATGAGAGTATTAACAGGTATAATATTCATTACTTATTATATTAACAGATATATATATTCATTACTTGTTAATATTTATAAACTTAAGCAAGTGCCTATAACTATTAATTGAATTATCCTACTCCATGAAAGAAACATAATAAAATCAATAAATAAAACAGAAGACTATTACCAGATACACTTGCTGTTGCAAAAACAAAAGAATAAATCGTAGGCATCGCAGAAAACATGGAGAATGCACAATCTCCATAAGAAAACAGTTAAGAAACTCAATACGATACAATCAAGAATTTCACATTACCTCATACTAACACCGATCATTTCAAAACCGACCAGTTCTCCATGAATAAAGAAACAGGATCCCGTTTACTTGTCGATTCAGCGGTAAAGTTCGGTGTTATTAACACCATAATCGTTAAATATTAATGTCCTATCCAAACATGTTTGTACATCTTCCACGATACAACACGCGCATGCAAATGAGACACCAAAACGGCCATGCGTGCGATTAAATTAATAATTTTAACGCCCGTTAACTGCTATTTGTTTATTCGAGAAGCGATAACAGCGATTAACTGCTAACGAGGCACTATATACCACGGGCGGTGATTTGCATACGGTCCGTCGAGCGCCTACAGCGACATCGCATCCCATTACATACAAGTCCCAATACGAGATTGTGAATTTATGATTCACTTTATCAGCACCTTTATATGGTTACAAAGTTTTTGTTTTCCACGAACGATCATAATCTACGAACACAAGACAAAATTAATTTTAACAACCGAACTCCGGCTAGAGACCGGTTGTTTCATATTAATGGCATCCGACAAAGATCAGTGACGGGTTCTTTAATAAATTGTTTCCAAGAAATTCCTCCAAATGTTGACAACGTAAAGCACGGGAGCTAAGCACAAACTTATTTAAACAAATTTTGATTAGGCAATAAAGATGGGAAAAGAGCTTAACTCGGTGACTGTAGCATTCTCACAAAGGTAATAAGGCGGTCGTCCTGGGAGCGGCTACCGTGCTACGATGCGGCTCGTTTGAAGTAGCAGCCAAGGAACGAGACCACTTGATAGGACAAATAACTGGAGATAACTAACAGCCACAGTCGGCGCCCAGTTTTTTGCTTACCAAATTTCTTAAGACGCCAACGGCACTTTCATCCTTATCATTTATTATTATTACAAAATCCACGACAGCTCTATGAATTTTAAAACCGTTTTTATGCAACGAAGAACTTTCTTATTTAGAGAGGAAAATTTTAATACAACCGAAGTCTATTGTACTGCTGAGGATATGGTAAGAAATCTCATATACTTCACTATTGACGCATTCTACATTCGCACCTCCGAATAAAGCTTTCATTACGTTCGAGCAAAACCGTTTGTAAGGAATAAAATAGAGCGTCGAACAATACCGGTGATATTCTATATAGAAAGTTCCCCTTGAAGGTGTTGGATAAAAAGGGTAGGGCACAACGGAATTATGCGAACGAGACGCGTAAAGAAATAAAACAAAATGCAGGTGTCGTTGGAAATAAAAAAGCTTAAGTTATGCACTTCACTCCCGTCCCGCGGAGTGTTTGCAACGACACACCCGCTATGCAAAGCAACTAGAAAACTAAAGGCTCTGCATATATTTGTTTACATAGGAAATTTTACAAGAACCAGAGGCGACGCAACACAACCGGAAACCACTAAATAATTTTGTTTAACATTTTACAACTTTACCACATCCCATAACTATGGGTGATAATAGTAATCATAAAATGGGTAAACGATGTGTTAAGAATAGTATTGGAAGAGTCATAAAAAATGTGTATTTAGGTAGTGAATGTTGCAATGGCGACAGTTTTATTGGCTCTGTTGCCGGACAGCATTGGCTTGACGACTAAGGAAGGGATCAAGGCGAATAATGTCAGCTAAACATCCGATGATCGATGTTTATATAACGCTGTTTACTTAAATGTGTTTGTTCGCCACAGATATAAAACTGTCGTCTCTCTTGTGATAAAAAACAATAATTGAATAAGACGGCAGCAACTGAAAAAATTCAACGATTTTTTTTATTGTATAAATAAAAATGTACAAATTGCGGACTTAATGCCACTAGATATTCTCTATCAGTCCACCCATCAAAGTATTTTGATATTATTTTTATTTTGGACAATTATAGCAGAGCTTTAGAAAGGCGTCGTAACAATCTAAAAAGAAATATTCGATTACAATCTCAATTACAATCTGATTATAATTCAAAATTTTCTATACTAGCAAAGCAATTTTTAACATCATACAACTTCAAGAAATGTTTTCTGAATACATGCATAAAAAAGGTCGTGTCTACGAAAAAGATGCAATCATTCCAAACGAAGCGAAGAAAATTGTGTTATAGCATTATTTAAAAAAGTTCCAACACTGATTTAGTCAGGTGTAAAACTTTACGAAGCCAGTGTTCCGGAAGCGCGGTGGGTAACACGATTCCTCATTGTTAGGTTGTCTGTCTGTCTGCCCGCAAGTGCTTTTGTACGTATAATGAGATCATACCCTTCTTATACCCTTCGAGTGATTCAAAGAATTCCATAATAAGACCGAGAAATTAAATCCTTAAACAGCTCGAAGTGTGAAAAGACCAGAATTTTTATTGATCATTATTATCTGTACGCATAAT